AGGGGAGGGAGCTCCCGCCCGCCCGGCGCTGTCCCTGCGGCCCGGGGCGGAGATGTAGGTTGTTCCGCAGGCCCCGCGGGGGTTACTGTGTTCTCTCGCTGCTGCCTCCCTCCCCCTCCCCACGTGGCACTGCCCGCGGGGGAGACTTTGTTCTGTTTGCGCCTGTACTCAAGGGTGCATATGTTTGTCCTTTCTCGAGCGTTTTCTCAGCTACTGGGAGAATGACCTATTGAAAGATCTGTCCTGTGCATGATCGAGGTTTGCACGCACATTGGTGTTTCCGCGTGCCTCCCTAAAGGGCTCTTGTTTAGCAGGCCGCACTTTCGCTGCTTTAGCGCCTCTGTTTAGCCGGTCTCCCGTTCCTTTACTTACACTCGCAACCACGTGTTGCCTTTCTTCAGTTTTTCTTCCAGTTCCTGCACGTGGGCTTCTTGCACAAGTGTTCCTGGGCTTTTCTTTTCCACTCCTTTCTTCTCGGACGTGATATCTCCTGGCCTTAAGGCCGTTCCTTTACTTTTTTTTCCTCTCTTCTGTTTAACTCTACAAAGGGATTTTGCATCCTTGATTTGCAGTTTGCTTGGGAACAAGGGTTGTTGGTGCATCCTACTGCTCATGGCAGGGGATGAATGGATGTTTTGGGCATGTCTTGTTAGTCTCTGAAGTAAAGCAGAAAGGTGTTGGAACGATCAAAATTGTGGTTTGGTTTTTTGCTTGTTTGGGTTTTTTTGTGTGTGTTGTTTTGTTTTTTTTAAAAGCCAATGCCCAAACCAATAAACAACCACTCTACTTCAAACTCCTCCCCCCCACCACCGTTTATGTATCACAGTAAAACAGTAGTTGCTGCATGTCCCAAAACCAATTGCCAGAGATGCCTTTGGACCATGCTTTCTCCTAGGCAGCTTTTTAAACCATCTTTAATCAGATATGTTTTAATAATCCCATTGGCTTCATTTAGCTGAACAGACTTCTTTCCTCAGTCCCCTCATTAGTCATGGGGAAAAGAAGGTCCTTGCAGAACCTGTGTAATCTCAGAAAATGAGAGGTGTAAAAGCTTGTGAATGTTACTCATACTCTGTGTCCTGGAAGCTAACATCTGAATGTTACTCATACTCTGTGTCCTGGAAACTAACATCTGTGTTCCTTCAGGTGCTGCGCCAGTTTGTAAGACATGAGTCTGATACAGTTAGCTCATTGGTACTGGAAAGATGTAAGTAGCTCCTGAAATGCAACTTGTCTGTTACTCTTTGTGTTTATCTCAGTTTTAGAACATCTGAAATACGGCAGGAGAGAAACAGATAGGAATGGTAGCTCCTCAGTGTAGGAGCTAGGAGTGTGTTGTTTCAAACAAACGAACTCTTGAGTAGCTTCTGATCTGGTCCTTGTCCACTCAAGCAGCATTTAAGGGAGAATAAGCCCTGACATGAAGTACCACCTGTAGAAGGCAGGGAGTGGTGCGTTGTCAGTGCTGTTGTCAGGGTTTCTAACACCTGCCTTTAGGTACCTTGTGTACTTCTTTCTCAGGCTTCTGTCTGCCTGGGGAGCTTGTCTGGGTGCTGTTGCCCAGCATGATTGGCTCCAGGTGTACACTTCAGACTTCACTATTCAGATCACATGCTGTGTGTGCAAGAATGATGTTTCCCTGACCTCCTCCTGTTATCCTTGAATGTGGAGAAGGGATAAGCTATGTCTGCCTAGGTCTAGTACCTGTGTAAAAACTAGTGACGCTCTAATTCAGAGGATGGAGCGTGGTAATGCAGCTTTGTTTTTAAGGTACTATTTTAAAGACTAAACAATGCAATACTATGGTTTTATCATTATAAAACACATAAAAGTCAATATAAGTAAATGCAAAATAGTCTCAAGTGACATATGGATGTGTGTATGAGAAAAAGGACAAAGGCATAGAAAGAATAAAGAGCCTTTGGCTCTCTAAATGAGTTGCTTTGCAGTGATAATGATAGTAGAGGCACAGTCAACTGTCTGCTGGGATCTGAATAAGCCAAAAGTCACAAGAGCTTGAAAAGTGGTTAGGAGGTACAGAAAGACAAGTTTCTGGCCCTTGACAAAAGCTGCTGATTTGTGGCTTGCTGTGATTAGAGGCATCATAATTCACCTCTGTGTGTTTACTCTTGTGTTTCAGCCATGAATCGTGTTCAGTTACTTGGTCGGGTTGGACAAGACCCTATCATGAGGCAGGTGGAAGGCAAAAATCCTGTTACCATATTTTCTCTTGCAACCAATGAGATGTGGAGAACAGGAGACAGTGAAACAAGCCAGGGAGGTGAGTCTGCCGTGAGCAGCCTGCTTCTGCTGTGTTCTGGGGTCATGTTTGCATATTCAGCACCACCATGCTTTGTCCTCAGGCTGCTGTGTAAATCTTCTGGGTGTAGAAAAGTTCCTTTGAGGTCAGTAGAGATGGTGCTGCATTTGTGTGTCTCTTACTGATCCCAGCAGCATGTACTGAAGAGAGATCTGCCTGTTGTTCTTCCTCTGGAGGAGAGGAGAGTGTGTTGACTTGGCAGTTTGTCACTGGGGCTTATGTGAGCTGTAGCAGGTGCTGTGCTCTTATTTATGTTTGAAGAGGAGAAAAGAAAAAGAGAAAACAACCACAACATTTTGTCTGATTCTGTCATCAGTCTGCAGCTACAGGTGTCTCTTCTTCTAACTTTTATTCACTGCAGAGTATGTGAGAGGAGGGGAAAAATGTATAGTGTGGCACCATCTTCCAGGAAAAGTGATCTCTTGGTTTGTACTGTGCTTGGCATGATGCTTGTATTTGGACACAGACAAATGGAACTTCTGGAATGGACTGGGATATTGACTACTATATACTTCCATTTTCAAATCACTTCTCATTATTTGAGAACACCAATGTCTTGAAACTAATGATCTTGTATCAAAAAGAGGACTTGGCATCCAACTTTGTTATTTTTATGTAACTTAGGTGATATCAGCCAGAAAACAACATGGCATAGGATCTCTGTCTTCAGACCAGGCCTCAGGGATGTTACCTATCAGTATGTGAAGAAAGGGTGAGTGAACAGCAAATGTATTTGGGGATTTAATGCCTTAATAATCGATGCAAAAATTATGGTGCGCAGGACCTATACTAAGATGGAGGGGCCACGAAACAATGTAACTTAGGTGATATCAGCCAGAAAACAACATGGCATAGGATCTCTGTCTTCAGACCAGGCCTCAGGGATGTTACCTATCAGTATGTGAAGAAAGGGTGAGTGAACAGCAAATGTATTTGGGGATTTAATGCCTTAATAATCGATGCAAAAATTATGGTGCGCAGGACCTATACTAAGATGGAGGGGCCACGAAACAACTGGAAGAGGGGAAATTTAGGTTAGCGGAAGTTCTGTTCTTTACTGTGAGGGTGGTGAGACACTGGAATGGGTTGCCCAGAGAAGCTGTGGTTGCCCCATCCCTGGAAGTGTTCAGTGCTAGGTTAGATGGGGCTCTGAGCAGCCTGGGCTGGTGAAAGGTGTCCCCGCCCATGGCAGGGGCATTGGAACTAGATGGTATTCAAGGTCCCTTTCAGCCCAAACCATTCTATGATTCTAGATGTAGAGGGGAAACCAGCAGCACAGTTCTCTGACCAGAACCAAATTGTTGTTGGCTTTTCAGTTCTCGAATATATGTTGAAGGGAAGATAGACTATGGCGAATATACGGATAAAAACAACGTGAGGCGACAGGCCACAACAATTATAGCAGGTAAGGAGCAACACACCAAGGTCCCCTGGCCCTTTTAGAGTGGGTGGGGGAGTACCTCTGAAATAGAGCTTGGTTTGTCTTCATCCTCAGTGTCCACACTCAGGGATTTTGAGAGAATGAACAGGCTGTACCAGTAGATTTCCTCTGGCACTGCTTGTGGAGACATGGAAAGTGAGAGTATACACTTGCAAACTGTTGGTGTAGTTTGCTCACACAAACCAGTTAGTGCAGGGGGCATACAGTGTGTTTTAAGAACACTGATATGTAGCACTGCAGGTCTCCTTTCTAAGCAGAGTTTGTTTAGTAGCTTTGTTGCAGTTTGACACAGAATTTTTTCTTCCTGTTTAAGGCTGGAGACCAGCTTTAAGGATCTCTGTGAAAGATGTTTGATGTACAGATAACTTGATTGAGAATTTAGGAAGACCTTGATATGGTAGCCAGTAGTGGTCAGAAGTGCACAGAATGGATAGGAAGTAGATTTGTGCCTTGGGTAAACACAATGAAGAGGATAACTAGGAAACTCAACTTTTTGCTTTAACCTTTAAATAGTGTGAGCATCCTACACCTTTCTTATGGGTAGAGCCACTAACTTGTGGCATTTGAGGGAGGGATGAATCAACTGGGTAGTAGAGCAAACATTTCTGTTATGTCTAACAAATCTGGGACAGAGGAAAAAAAGAAAGGGAAAAAGGAAAAGACAACCACAGCTCTGGATATTTCTGCTGTGCAGCCTCTAAGACAACAGTAATCAGACTTTCACCTGAGCCATTCAGCTAGCAGTGTTGTAAGTTGCTGTTTATAAATAACTGGAGGGGAGAAGCAAGTCTCTTTCTTAATTACTATTTATCCTAATGGCTGCTTCTTTGTGGTGAAAATACCCAGTCTCAAGAAGATTTAGAAATTCCTGAGACTTCGTGAAATATGAGCTTCCTGTAGTCCCACAGGCTGTTGATATAAGGATATGACTGAAAATGGCAAAATAGAAAGGAAATAAGCTGTAACTGATGTATTTTATAGACAGAGTTAAACTGTTACTTTAAAATATTTCTGGTATCTTTCAGCAGCTTTTCATTAGCTTTAGCACACTTGTTATATGGCCAGCTGGAATTGTCAGCTTTCAAGGGAGGCAGAGCAAGAGCCCTGTATTGGACACTTGTGTTTTATGAACTGTTCTGTTCTGAAATGCTCATCTTTGCAGCTTATTTTAAAACAACTAGATGGTCTCTGTGGGTGTGGAGATGTGCAACAGGGCAAAACAACCCTCAAGATTAATATTTGGTTTTATTTCTTTTCAGATAATGTGATTTTCCTGAGTGATGCTGGTATGAGAGATAAGGTGTAAGGTCATTAGAGCCTGGGCCCAGGCCACTTTGTTCCTTTTGTTTTTCACTGCTTCATGATTCTGTAATCACATATATGACTGTAGTTTTCTTTAAGAATAATTAAAATGTTTGATACCTAGGGGGGTATCTCTCTGTTTTGCTTTGTTTCCCTGTGTGCTTTTTCTCTATTCACCACTGTTTGGATTTCTTTTTTTTGTTCTGAAGAGAAAAGGGCACCCAGGCAGCTGTTTAATTATTGAGCTGGTGAGGATGTTAATGATGGCCACCCTTTGCATCTTCAGTGATTTCAAGCCTTAGACCCTTGGCTGCCTGTTGGGTCTTGCAGGGCCTGGCAGCCTAATCCCCTCCCACAATTCACATCCCTCCTCTGTTCTGTAGGTGTCATTCCCTGGTTTTCCTTTACTAGGCAAGTTAGTCAGTTTAAAGCAGAGCCATTGGCCTTGACTAGTAGTGCTCAGCTGGAGGATTCTGTGTCTCAGACCCGGGAATGCTGACTGTGCTGCCTCTCCACAGCAGCTGATCACATCAGGTGTTGTCTCTCACCAAACCCTGCTTTGCTCACGGGCTGAGGTCTCGGTTTTCATGGCATTTGGCATAGGATGACATCAGCATTCCCACCCCAGTCCTGGTTAGGGTGCTGTGCCTGTCGTTTGCCATCAGGAGGAGCTGGAGGAACGACTGCCTCGGCTGTGCCCTTTGAGAGGCACGGGAGGAGTCTCAGTTCGTGTGGGAGGGGTGTTGATTTTGCTTTAACTTCGTTTTGTTGTCAGACAATTATTTAGTATTGTTAGTAAAACGTTGCACAACTGAAAAGGTGTTTTATTCTATTACATGAAGAAGTGATGAAGTTCCCACTGCAACACAGCGTGATGTGAACAGGGAAAGAAAAATGTTATAGGTAGCAATTTCCTGCCTTCAGAGCTGGTAGGATTTTTTTATCTCATCCCTCTCAGTGCACAATTATTTATAGTTTTTGCAGCTCTTGCCCCACTGTTTTATGCTCTCTGTGAGCACTGTCTGTACTAGGAAAAACTTCAATTCTTTCAGCTCAGCAAGTATTTCTGGTTGAAGTTAAAGCTCTAGATTTAGATGCTTTTAATACCAGATACTAGTATTTAGATACTTGGATATTTGTTAAAGCTGTAACTAGCATTCTGGTCCCTGGCACTGGCACGCTGAGGTGTTGGATGTACTGCAAATATTTAGCTGCTTCAGTGAGTTGTTATCCACAGGAGATTGGGGATAGCTCTTTAAATAGGAAGTTCTGACTTTAATTCCCTTAACTGTTTGTTTAATCTGAGCCTGTCTCGTACTGCTGGGAGAATTGTGGTGGTGCACACAGACAGTAGTGATCAAAGTACAGTTTGTTTGGTGCACATGTTTTTCCTGTTAGCTGAAATCTGGGGTGTGTCTTCAGCTTTCTTCCTACCTATGAAGCCTCAAGCGAATGTGCTGAGCTGCTGTTCATCCAGTGAGCACCTCTCTAGCATTCTGTGGTGGTGGTGGAGTTAAGTACAACATGTAACAGTGTCTGCTTTGGAGCTTGGAAACTGGATTTCTACACCAAGCTCAGAGCAGAAATGGCAGCATGGATTCCCTTTGCTGCTGCACATGGAGTGGTCAGAACTCCTCTCAGCAACTGCTGAATGGCTCCTGCTAATCTCTGCCCTTGGTTTAAGCTGGAGCTAGCACGAGGTGTAGGATTAGGTGCCAGCAAAGAAAAATATTTGCTCAAGAACCTCAAGTTTTCTTGCCTTTGCAGTTCTATTTAAAGTAGCTAGTATGCTTCTAAAGATTGATCTGCCTCAAAGACAACACACCTGCTTTGAGAACACTGCAAAGCACTGCGATATCTCTTGCAGAAGGGTAGATTTTTCAGAAATGGTTCTGCATTACCAATAGACATAGTTACAGCAAAAATAACCAGTGGCCAAGGTATGTTGTGTGCTCATCTCTTTTATGTCTGCTTTGCTGCTGTGGGGCAAAGTTAATCTACAACTAATTTTCATTATGAGAAAATCAGGTGTGAAATTAGCATTGCTATGGCATCTGGCTTAGGGGTTTTTTTTTGGCTAGGTACTTGTTATCTGAGGAGATTTTACAGAATGGAAGTGGTATCTCCTGAGTGAAATCTAATGATTCCTTGTTTATAACTAGGCAATGTCTACACTGTCCCCTGAAAAATGGCATTCAGTTTTTGCTGGTCCATGTTAACCTCTTGTGTAAACCTGATTAGGCAAACCCTGATTGTTTGCATCAACCAGCACATTTAGAAGCGTTTGACCTTAACAAGGAATTTATTTTATGCATTTACAGAGATAATTGGAAAAGATAAAATGTAGAGATGATTTGTTTTTAAAATGACAGCATTTTCACCAAGTATTTGGAGCATTTGTGAACAGCCCTGAGACAGAGCTACTCTGGTCTGCAATGCAGCTCTGTGGCACTCAGTTATCTCTCAGTCTGGTGTAAGGTATGGGGCACTGTCTCCTGTGCTTGTTTCTGTGGCTGCAGTGTCCTGGTTTGAGGAAGACACCATGGACATTGTGCCTGTGTCACACAGCAAAGAACACTGTCAACTTTAATCCTCGTTCATTGGCAGAAGTTTCTCTGTCCACAGAAATTATGAGTCATGAAACAGAAGTAAGAGAAGTAAGATGCTTTAGCCAAAGAAATCAAGTCCCATTTGACTGAAATAGCCCTCCCACTACCCTCTGTGTTATGTGGGGTTGGGGGAATTGTCTCTGTTCCCAAACACAGGCCACACTTCAATTAAAGACCAGCAGGGCCTGTGGGAGCCTGGTGAAAGCCCATGCAGAGAGGCAAAGGCAAGAAAGCTGAATTAGTGCTTTGAGAAGCCCCTGGGTGCAAGACCAAGGAACATTCTGGTACAGGGAACTTGTTTCTGTCAGTGTACCAATTACATGGGTTTAGTAGTAGGCTGCCTTCAGTACTGGCTATCCTACTTCTTTCATGAGGATTCATGTCAGAAAAAGAATAAAACATCAGGATTGTGGGAAGAAAATGTCACTATTCTCAAGCACACTTATTTTTAACTCTCAAATTTGTGGTGGAAACTTTTTAACCAAAAGTTGAGCATGTCTGTATGTACAAGCTAAGACTGTTTATCTTGGCAGTGGTGAGCTTCTCCACTCAGCAGTGTGATTTGGATCTCATTTACACAAGAAGTGTGCTTTGTTAGTGCATTACCAGGTACTGGGCAGTGCAAGTAATGTGTTTGCACAACACACAAAGAAATAACTTTCTTGGGGTTTCTACAGAGCCATCCTCTTGTGGGAAATGTTTGCTAGTGTGTTCGAGATTTCTTCTGCTTGTTGCTCTATATCCCAGGTAAAAATAATGATCTGATTACTGTACTTGGCCATTTCACAACAGTCTCCAGCAACTACTGTGACTATGAATGGATCACTTGGTCATTCTCTGTGTTCTTCATTTGTGCCCTGCATTCTTTGAGAGGTGCTAAGTTTGTTGAAGAAACTGCCTTCAACTATGGCTATTTCTACTGCTTTCAGGGGGTTAGATTTTTTTCATTGGTCAGAAACCTAACAATTGTTATCCTGTGGGCTCTGTTGCTGTTTGTTCTTTTCTTGCTGGTTGACTTCTCAAACAGATTTGAACAGAATACCTGTAGAAAACGGATGGTTATCTTGATCCTGGTTGTCACAAGTCAGAAAAATGTCACCTGTAAATATTTAATGAACCTTTGTGCAACTGACCTGATCTAGAACTGGGTAATAATGCGGTTTCAGGAGTTGTGGCTTCTGTAACCCGGATCTGCAGGGTAAAGAGAGCACCTTTCTTCTGCCAGGCTTTGTGTTATTGCTAGCTTTGTTCTTTGATGTTTAAGTGGTGTTTGTTTGGACCTGTGCCTTAACGGCCTCCTCTTCCTTAGCTAGTTTGGTTTTCTGAGTAGGTTTTCTGCATGGGTTTTTTTTTTTTTTTCCTGTGTGGGTTTTCTGCTCCTTGCAGAAGGGGACAGAATGCTCAGTACACAAAAGCTGAGCTCTGCTCTCCCCTGTCTCTCCAGACAATAAACACCCACCCTTTTATCTTCTTGTGGATTTTTGGTCAGTTTTTGCACTGTCCCCCTGTGCTGGAGAGTGAGTTCAAACCCAGTGCATAAGAGTGGTGAGGAAAGGTCTTGCACAAAAGAAGAAACCAAAATGCTCTTTGAATTAGATGAGTCGGAACTTAAAAATACTACAAAAGCTGCTCTGCGAGGAAAGTAATGAAACACAGAGATACAGCCTTGATTTTCAGCATGCTAGTAACTACTCAAATCCACAATTTAAAATCCAGCAATATGGGAAAAAGTTAGGAGGATAGTTGTCTGTGTCATGTTCTTGCTGGTTTTGTGGTGCTTTCCACAGTGCCTGATTTCTGGTGTAGTGTCAGTCTGTGAGCAGCAATGCATGGCGCATCAGACTATCCCATGTGTTGTATCAGGACACTGAATAATTAATATTCTCTGGAAAGGATTAATTTCCTCCACTTTTGTCTCTTCCTTCTTGGTACCCTGCAGGTGCTGCCAATTTTTAGCTGAAATTTGCTAAGACAGATGTTGTTTCCCAAGGCTGGTGCTGCAGCACAAACACTTCAGTGTGGTCTCTGTGATGTTAGCTGCCACCACACAAAGCAAATCAGTCATATTTCCTTACAGAGTCCTGGGTAATTGTTTTAGAAATGTTGAAGCTCAAAAATGAGGTGTAGCCTTGAACATTAATTTTCATTATCTGCTAGGAACTGGGTAGGGTGCCCAGTTACCAATGGTTAGTCCCCAGTTACCAGTATCGTGTTGCATATTTATATTATAGCCCCAGAAATGGATCTGTCTTTGTGTGTCAAAATGTTTCAGTGGCCAAAGAAATCCTCCAGGATGCTTATGAATTCTCAGCAGCTCTGTGTCCCACAGCAGCAGCTGTGCCTCAGTGCCACTGATACTGAGCCTCTGGGGAAGTGCAGAGGGGAGAGGGATGTGATTTTATGAGATGCAGGAAGAGTGGAAACCCTTGGGAAAAGCAGCATGCTGTTTGTCCAGGGTGCCTAATTTCCCATGAGCGCTTTACCCAAGGGGCAGTGACAGAAATATGCACTGTG